AGCGAGCACAGCTCTGAGGGCATCCATGCTGTAGGTTAGTGTAAACACAGGTCGCACACATGATGTCAGCATTTTTTTGTCGCGGAAAGTGTCGTTGCGGACCTTAAAACTCCGGTTTTGTCTGTCACACGCAGACACTCAAAACGGAGAAAACGCAGATCTTCACTTTGGCCGGTTTTTAAAAAGATCAGTTTTCGTGTGAAAAAACTCAGTTTTCGTGTGGATGACAGCTCAAAACGTAGAAAAATATCTATGTTTTGGCAGATCCCTGGCTACGTGTGGACAGGGCCTAAAGAGATGCAAATGACAACTTTAGTCATCACTGCCAGGATTAACACTAGAACTCCCAAGGCAGTCATTTTGACTCTTTTCATATTTTGATATGTGCTAACTTTAGTTAGATGGATCTCATGTTGTCCTGACTTTTCCTATTAATGTGGGTTCGTTACTTCTGCGTAATCATTTCTATAAAATTATGTATCAAAAACTAAAAGTAGTGTTTTTGTCTGTCTCCCAGAAGCCGTCGTCAGACTGTTGGCTTTTTTGTTTACATGGTACATTTTGCCCACAGATGACGCACAATTCCTAAGCAACCAACTTTTCAGCTAGCAGGTGCTCACTCTCCGTTCATACTCCATGGAAAATAGCTGCTAAAAGAACGTTGTCAGTGAAACAAGCATTAGAAATGGTGCTGCTTCAGGCAGAGAGGGGGAAGCTGATGGAAACTGGTCAGTAGGAAGCAGCTGAGGCTCTGACAGAAACAGAAGACGATTTCCACTCCATCCCCCCACCCCGCGAAGAAAGGAGTCGCTTCAGTCACCCAGCGAACAATATAGAGACTTCTTTTCAAGGTTTAGGTTAAAACTATATTTTCTTACCATATAATCAGGTTCACACATCCAAAAAAGATTAATAGCGCATTTTAACTGTTTTGCTCATGACGTCATCAGCCCGCTTTCATTAGCCAAAATGACAGCTGTCAAACTGACAGTTACTGGGAGTTCTGGCGAAGTAAGATTTCTGGGAGTTCTAGTGTTAAAGTCTTATTGTCCATGGTGAAAAACACTGTTGCACTTCTCAAAAGATGCTGAGAGTATAATAGTTGTTAGGTCACATGTGGTGCTGATGTAATCTACACAGATAAGAAATAGCATTTCTGCAAAAGTCTTTTATTTAGAAGTTATCAGATGTTTTACACTGACACTGGTTGTGATATCCTGTCTAGACCTATGTTAACAGTGGAAATTGTTGTGTCCCAAAAGTGGCTTGCGTCAAAAGAAGAACCCAATCCTAATGGCATGGTGTGGCGAGCTCCTTCTGGGACGCTCCTAAAATGTTTGATTGATAGATTTTAATGGATTCTATTTGAAGAAGAGACATCTCGCTGCTGTTCTGTGCTACTGATGCCTCCAGTGTGGATTGGGCTTTAAAGCTACATTCAGCTATTTTTGACATGAACTCATTAGCTGCCAGCCGTTTCATGATCAGAAAAGCCTCTCACTGCCAGCTTTTGTCAGAGTTTTTACTACTTTACAGCATTATGCTCCATGACGATGTCAGCGTCAAAACTACCAAAACAAGGAGTAGACTCACTTCTTACATCAGGAAGAATCCGCGTGTTGCTATCGTTATCTGTTCTTTCATAATGCGTTGTCGAATTGTGAGCGGCAGAAGCTTTTCCGGTTCATTGTGCACATGAAACACATGGAATTTCTGCTTCCTGATCACGTGGCGTGTGACATACGCGACTGAAGATCAGCTTTAGAGCTGTGAAGTTGGTTCTCACTGTGCGGGGCTCTCTCCGACACTCGACCCGTAAAAAAATACAAATGACGACTTTAGCCGTCAATGGCAGTAAATGAGCTAACCAATCACATTTACATTACTATTTCACCAATCTAATATAACGATCTTACTGAAAGTTACTTCTGCTGCTCGTTGTCTCTATTCCGGTTAGTCTGCTCCTAAGCTGTTGCGATCCTAAACGGAGAAGTTTTCCCCAAACGTAAAATTACTCTTCTTTTGAAATAAAGAAGAGGTGCACAGTGGTGCTGTGGTTAGCGCGTTCCCATCACAGTAAGAATGTCTCCAGGTGCGTGTTTCCCTCCATCATCAGAGACATTCATGTTTGATGGAATGCCGATGTAATGTTAACATTGATAAATGATGGCAGAAGAGTGTGGTGCGACCCGAGTTGTAATATAATGTAAAGTATGATGTTAAAATTATCATGTGTGGTTTAAGTTCTTCAAACTAAAGCCGGGCGTACACTGTGCGACTTTTTCAGTTTTTTGAGCCGATTTTCCAGTCGTGCGAGAATCCTCGACATCGGGGCGAGTTTTGCGCCGAGCGGTCGTGTAGTGTACAGGGGGTTACGAGAGGCGATTAACACCACGTGACCAGCTGCCGATCAGCAGTCGTGAGGTCGCACGGACTTCTGGAGTGTTTGATATTTTGCTCGTTCCTCGTGAGGGTATCGCACTGTTGAAGCGGTGCTGCGAGCAGCTGCGACCCAAAAGTACCAGAACCGCTCACGGCGCATGCGCAATCCTGCATCAACGCCGCTCGCTCTTTCCCTAATAACACACGTTGTTCGTTTTAATTTCTACACGTTTTTTTACTCACAAAGATTGTCAAGAAAGCGTGTTTGTCGTGTTCATGTCAAATTAAACTGATCACAAAACACAGATTTACTTTCTTTATTTCGTTTTCCTCAGCCAACCCCCATAAATCCCTGTGTGTTTTCCTGCAGCACTCCCGAAGGACAACAGGCAAAACAAGACAAAAAAGTCTGACGTGTTGAGTAAAAACTGATATTTTTAGCATATTTTTAGGGCCGACGTGTTGCTACCAGACGTACAGTGTTAGCAGTCAGGTCGCATGCGAGAACTGGGTCGTACAGTGTGAGCGCATGACTCGTGAGATCTGCCCTGCGAGGAAGTCGTACAGTTTGAGCTGAAGCTGAACGCTGCGAGTGAAAAAGTCGCACAGTGTCCGCCCGGCTTTAGCCCAAAACCCGTGTGGGGTTCTGGGAACGTGTGCAAATGTCATTTTCCGTCAGTAGTTTTTGTGTTCCAGACCTCTCGGTTCATGTTATGGGTGTTTGACGCATTTCTAACCTTCTATTTATGTCCAGAGTGTGTTTGAATATTCCTGAATAATTCCAACAGACCAACTTGGAAAAATGATGCAACAAAGTGGTTTTCACCAACGTTTACCCAGTTTGTTCATTCTGCAAGTTTTGTAGTTAAGAAAATGTACGTCTGCTAAATGTCAGTTGCTGGAGACCAGTCGGTATTTAACAGGGACCAAATCTTTGTGCTCACATTCATCACCACACAAAGCAGAACACTGTGTCTTTTCAGCTGCAGCCAGATACTCAGCAAAGTACAAAACACCTCAGAGTTACTTTCTGGGAAAATAATGAAAGCATTAAATGTCAGGTCACTTTTGTTACTTCTTTGTTATGTTGCAACCGTCTCGTCTTTTATAAATATAATTAAAATGTTCAGCTGACAGCGAATCATGTGTTTTTCTGATGATTTATAAAACATGTTTATATGTAAACAGCTTTTCTTGGATTTAATGAACTTGTTTTAGAGCGATGAGTGAAGCAAGCTTTGGTTTTCATTTATATTCGTGCGTATAGAGCTCAAAGTGGAATATACAGTCCAATGAATAATTAAATCATGAAGAATCTAAACAGGAAATCAGTTTCTGAAGTTTAATTTTTCAAACTCAGTGATGAAGAGAGTCCATGGTTGTAACAAAAACCTGAAAACCAAGGAGTTCTGACATAACAGTCGACAAAGATCTGCTCTCATACTAGCAAGCTCATCTCCTTCCATTAAATGTAAAAAAAAAAGAAAAAGTTTTTATATCAATCTTTACATTCATGACAGATTTAACACAGACAAACTTGAAAAGACAACAGAGAACCACGCTGAAGGCTGATTTGGCAGCCAATAAACACTTTGACATGTAACTGTCATCCCGACCCACAAACTGAAATAACCCGGCGGTTTGTTCTGTTCTGATGTTGTCACATTAGCAGAATCCACCTGGCTGCTCGTTGGCTCCGAGAGCGTCTTGTTGAAGTGTTATCTGTTCTTGTGTCAGCCCGACGTGTTTGTGAGATGTTCTCTCTCGTGTTTGCAGGCCGATCTGATTCCTTTAGCTTTAGCCGAGCAGATAACAGCTGGGATTGAGCGAGCTCCTCCAGTCCACGTGTGCGTGCCAAACAAGTGATATCTCACCCGGTTTCCTCAATTTCTTCCCTCCAAACAGCTCGTTTTGTTGCCCGTGGCAGCCTTGTGTGCGGTTCAGATAAAATAAGACATCAAGATCTATTTTTGTGTGCTTTTTATGCAGATGATTCGCCACGTTTTCATCACAAAGGCGCATCAGATGTAGACTGCAAAGGCAGAAAGGGGGTTTTAATGCACTGATTTAATGTGCACAGCATGTTTTACCACGATGGCAGCGTGCACACACTCAGAAAGAGCCTGTTATCTTAATGAATCCTTGTTAGCAGCAGAAGGAAATGGACAACTCGGGCACTAAAAAGCAGATGACTGTAATGAGTAGTTGGCTCAGTTCGTCTGGTTTAAATGTGATGGAGTCTGTGAAGTCTCTCTCAACTGCAATCCATCCTTTTTGCTTTATCTCCTCTTTTCTGTTTTCTAATCCCCGCGCCTTTTAATTTAGTTATTTTTACAGCAAGCCTTCCGGCCAATTTCCTTCAGGCTTTTTAATATTATCACATGCACAGATGCGCCTTTCTCCCCCTCTTTATCTCCTCCCTTCATCCTCTCCCTTCATTTAAATTAATCACTGCCTTATCTGAAAGGAAAGTTGTAAATATCGGCTCGGTGCAGGTGTGGGACAGCAATTAAAGTGTTATTCAAAGAGACAAAGTGAGACGAACAAATTGGCTGTGGCGTTTCTAATAAAGAGACACAGCTTCACTAATATATGACATATTTTTAATTTAATTTTAGGTATGTGGTCATTTTCCGTTTCCGAGCTGGCCATCCCGGGTGCTGAGATCGGACGCATCTCGGCCACCGACGCCGACCTCGGTGAGAATGCCAAACTGGAGTACATCATCCTGGAGGGGGAGTCTGGGGACACCTTCAACATCACCGGCTTGGACCAAGAGGCGCTCATCACGCTCAACAAGGTGAGAAAAGGATGCTCATAGGGTTGAAAGGGAGTGCAGAACAATGCTGAAGGAGAGCTGGAGGTTTAGCGAGCAGAGAGAAGACGGATGATGATGGGATGACTCAGGTAATGTGGGAAGGTCTTTAGAAAAGAGCTGTTTTGAGTAAAAGCAGCTCTGTTATATAAGCTCATTAAAGTAGAATTACCTGAAAATACACAAAAAAACAGCGTAAGCCTGTAAGATTTGACATGCTTCATCAGTTAGCGTCATTTTCAGTCAGCTAATCTGCATTCACGCTACCTTCCTCTGCGTATCAAACTCCCATCAGAAGAGAGAGATCTGATGGGTTTCTGACTCATTCTTCACAAACCAGCCTCCTTTTCTTTTTAATCAATATTTCCATCTGTTTACAGCAAACATAATGAAACACCTGTATGGAAATCAATCAAAGCATCCAAATGCAGACGTGTGCTGTTTTAGAGCTGAGTGCAAATGGGTTCAGAAAGTGTTTGGACCACTGTTGAGGTGTTTCGACTCCTGCCTTTGAGTGCAGGTTTGTCCTTGCAGGGTGTTTGTTTTTACAAGACGGATCAATGAGGCTGTGCATTCCTGACTGCAGCTGCCTAACACGTCCCTTTAGTCTAATGCTGGATTATTTCAATTTCAAACAGCTGTGTTCTGAGCCGCCTGCCATGCCTAATGATCACATTCTCGTGGAGATGTGCTGACACCCTCTTGTAACCAATGAAACAGGACACATGTGTCTGTGCTGGGATTGTTGGCCCCTGTTTGCACATGTGATGAACACTTAGTGCAGAGCAGAGTCCCTGGTGAGAAATCACTCTCAGATATGACACTTTCATGTTAAACGAGCTCGTCAGAAGTGTCCTCCATGCTTCAATAAAAGACCGAACACACACACACACACACACACACACACACACACACACACACACACACACACACACACACACACACACACACACACACACATACACACACACACACAGATGTATGAAGTGTGTTTTACTGAGGCTTTGTAATTATGTTGCTGTTGTGTGGCTAATGCTATTTTCTGACTAGTTGTACATGCTAGTGTGTGTGTGTGTGTGTATTTGAAAACAACTTCTTAACTAAACTTAACTTTGGTGATTCTACATGTCGTGGGTCAAAAAACGACACCCCAACATGACAACAAAGAGTTGGATCGACACAATGGACGATGCCATTGATACTGATAAAACGTATCAATTCCCACCGTTATGACACGCCAAGACGAGTCATCTGCAGTGAGTAGACAAATGCATTTCACTGTAATCTTGAGTTATTGGTAATTGAAATATGTAATTTGAGATATTTTTAGAGCTGACAATTTGCTTCTAATTCACATTTAGCATTGTTAGCTCAACGTTAGCATTCAGCCGATATTAGAGTAAAACAAAAAGATCTTGATTAAAAGATTAAAGTCCCATTTAGTCGTCACACACACACCCGGTGTGTGGTGAAATTTATTCTCCGCATTTGACCCATCCCCTGGGGGAGCAGTGAGCTGCAGACACAGCCGCGCTCGGGAACTATTTGGTGGTTTAACCCCCCAATCCAACCCCTTAATGCTGAGTGTCAAGCAGGGAGGCATTGGGTCCCATTTTTTCAAAGTCTTTGGTATGACCCGACCAGGAGTCGAACCCCTGATCTCCCGATCTCAGGGCGGACACTCTACCACTAGGCCACGGAGTCGGTAGTCGGAGTTGAGGCCTCTTAAGAGGTACAAGAAGTAACTTCTGGGTCGCTCCTGTTTACTGGCTTTGATTCTTTCAATGACTCTGGAATTTTCTGTCAGCCGGTGTTGAAGTACAAATGCCAGCGCTGCAGTGTTAGCTCGGCGTAGACCTCGCCACCCTGTGGGCTCACAGACTGAAAACAAAGACTAACGTCACTCTTCATCCATTTTGAAAGGAGACAAACTGACAACCCCCCAGCCGGCTGAGAATGAAATCTGCTTTAATGCAACCATCCATCCAACATGATTGAGACATTAAACCGTTTGTAATTATTTCTCACCGACTGCACCTTTAAAACATGAAGACTAAATAAAAATTGAATGTTGTCTCACCTAAAATACAGGATTCACTTCAACAGGAGCATCACAAACCAATCTGTGCCATCTCTGAGTAAAAGCAGCATTTTTTTTTATAATCTGTCCTTTTCAATAAGACAGAAAACACAAAGCTTAAATCTACAAACTCCACTAAATCCAGTGGAAACTCATTTTAAAATCATGTTAAGCTTTTGAAAGGTTGTCAGCTTCCCCACACACCTGACTTGTTTTAAAATCCATAATCCATTTTAGATAATCCTCCAGATTTATAACTATTTGTACACAATAAAACGGAGCTTTGTATGATTTTGTGTTGTATTCAGTGTGTGGTGGAGAGAACATGTGTGAAGTTATTACTGGATTACAACTCAGCCCTGGGTTTGCAGGACTCGTTAAAAACAATTCACAGCTTCAGGTGGTATGTAGAGCAGGGTTTTCAGGCCCGGTTAGAGCTCCTTTGAAGAGAAGCAGGGGAGGTGGGGAGGCTGTAAGATGCAAGAGGGAAGAAATTGAAGGTAAGGACTCTGGAATCGGAGAGGGGGGTGAGAGAGGTGGGGATGAGGAGCTGAGGGAGTGTTTAGATGAGGTCCTGTGAGGCAGTGACAGCAGAGTAAGAATAACAAGGGAATAAGAAGGAACCAGAGAGAGATGTGCAAATAGACAGAGAGAGAGAGAGAGAGAGAGAGAGAGAGAGAGAGAGAGAGAGAGAGAGAGAGAGAGAGAGAGAGAGAGAGAGAGATGCAGAGATGGCAGGGGCTGCAGAATCAGTGACAGCCTCAGACAGGAATAAGCACAGCTAGAGACCGGGAAGCACAGTGAGGTAGAAATAACCATCCAGAGAGTCACTTTGGAAAATTCAGAAAAAAAGAAAAATAGGTGAGCTGGATTTACTCAGAAGAATCCTTCACGGCGTCCAATGAAGGAGTCGAGGAAAAGGACAGTAGTTTCAATAATGTTCATAAAAAAATACAGCAGCAGCCCCCGATCCAAAACAAACAACACGTTGCAACCAAACATGAAAATGAAGGTTAAAAATGGCCGATAGATTGTTGTTGTTTTTTTAAGTACCGGCATCATATGCGAACTAAGTGACTCCTTTGGACCCCCACATCATCAGGGGGAGCCCCAAGAGCATCAAGATAACATGAGTAAAAAAAGTTTCAATGACTTTAAATATCAACTAAATAGTGTTTCACATGAAAAGTAAGTATCTGCATTGTTCTCTATAGTGTCATTTGGTTTTATTTTGTAGTGCAGCACTCTTTACACATTTCAAATTTTAAGAGCAAAAGATAGTAAACCTAACAATTTTACTGTGAATTCAGTGTTTGTCTGCTGATGTTTCCATAGATGAATTAATATACCACACTTAAATAACACTCTTCATTTGAAAATGCTAATTAATTAGAGCGTTTGTGTTGGTTTGCTGCTCCAATAAACTTTAAATCGATATCCACAATAACACAAGTTTGATGTAAGCTAATTACAAAATATGCTAATATCAGTGGGCATGTTACACAAATGGTACAGCTTAGGAACAATGAATCATCTGGTGTTGACTTGCTGGTATGGGGGCCCCCAAGGGAAACCTGTTTAGGGCCCAACAAAGGATTGGGCCGGCCCTGTCAGCCGATGTACCTCTGATTGCAGGCACATCCCCAGCAGTCCAGTGGTGCTGCGGATTTTAATCTAAATGTGTATTAACATCCGTCAACCTGTTATAAAATTCATCTTCAAATAAAAATTAAAATGTTTTACTTTTCTTTTTATTTACTAATTGGGAATTTAGTTAAGAATGTTCTGTTATACAAGTTTGTTTGTTTGATTTATTTGGGCTGCTTGGTGGTGCAGTTGTTAGCACTGTTGTCTCAACCTTATTAATTTAAGCACAGATTAATCAAGACATTATTATTATTCAGATAACATTTGTTCATTCAACCATATTGTTTATTCACTATTATAATGGTTCAGTCCTCCCTTCTGTGCAGGACAGCCTAGATAAGCAGACAGGCTTGGCTCAGAAGAACCTTGAGAAGGGAACATGATGTTGACAATCTGAGTGTAGCCACACAGTGTCAAATCTTTTCCTGCAACTTGGAAAATTAAGAGACGCACAGAGGCAGATTCATGTTTATAGATGACCTGGTGGCATGTAGGTCAATATGTAGGTGAGAACTGACCATTTCTGTACATTACAGCGGCATTAAGGTTGCAGGTTCAAAACTCACATGTGACCTGTCCGCGTGGAGTTGCATGTTCTCCCCATGCATGTGTGGGTTTCCTCCGGGTACTCTGGTTTCCCTCACAGATCACAACGTGCCCTATAGGTTAACGAAAAACATATGCCAAATAAATAAACATTAACATTTACTTTAGTTAGATGTCTGATTTTACCACTGAGCCTAAGATTTAACAGGTCCAAAACCAGATCCAGCTTCAGGAGTTTTGTGCATCAACTGATGTTATTTACATTTTAGCACACAAAAGAGGTGGAAAACTTTTACACAGTGGCCATGAAATTCGACTGCGCATATCGGCCATCGTCTAACTATGACCTTTACACATCGGCATCAGAATCAGCAACAGAAAAACCAATATGGGTCATCCTCTACACACAACACGCCCTCCGTCTGTTGGTTCTGTGCTGCTTTATTCCCTTCACAACGGCACAGAGAGAAGCAGACACATATGTTTGGACAGGATTCCTGCCATGTGTGAAACTCTGAGTTTACGGAGAATTTTAGGAATCATTCTTAGTGTTTGGAAGCAAAGTGGAACATTTATGGAAGTTTAACAGGCAACGTAGAAAGGAAAAATGATATTCACATGGATTGTAACTAGGGGTGTGTATTGGTGAAATGTTGCCAGGGGAGAAGATACAATGCGACCTGATTGTATTGCGATACATTCAGTCAGATGT